AAATACGAACATGATGTGTGTGTGTGTGTGTGTGTGTGTGTGTGTGTGTGTGTGTGTGTGTGTGTGTGTGTGTGTGTGTGTGTGTGTGTGTGTGTGTGTGTGTGTGTGTGTGTGTCCATGTATTCGGTGTGTAGCAGGCAAGCAGGCAGGCAGATGTCTGACAATATTCTGACGTTCAGTCCTGCTGTCTGCCTCAAGGATAGTCTATACATACACACACATACACACACTGGTGCTTGTTCCCAGTCCCACCAGGCCTAATTGGCCCAGCCTGCTTAGTACAGCACTATTATTCAGCACTTCTGACAATAGATATTCTGTGTGTGTGTGTGTGTGTGTGTGTGTGTGTGTGTGTGTGTGTGTGTGTGTGTGTGTGTGTGTGTGTGTGTGTGTGTGTGTGTGTGTGTGTGTGTGTGTGTGTGTGTGTGTGTGTGTGTGCGCACACAGTAAAGCTTCCCAGTGACACTTAAAGAAGTCCCATGAGAGCTTCATATCGTCTCATGCTCTGACACATCTGTCGCTAGCTGAGGAAGGAACACCTTTCTTGGTTTCACACAAGTCCAGAAAATTTCACTCAGCCAAGGTACTGAATGAGGAAAGAAATTGGAAGATATGGAGGAAAGAGAAAAAAAGTTTTCTTTAACATCCGTCAAAAGCTCACACCGCACAGCCGTGATTATGTTTTCCTCAGACGACTTATCAAAAATAATTCTTCACTCTCCTTTCCTTCCAGCCTCCAGATTGATTGCTTTGCCTTCCTTCAATAACAAACTAAACCCAGTGTGTTTGGCTTGGTGCCAGGCTACTGGAGCAGCGGCCCCCTGCTAGAAAGAAATCAGGACGGTGGAGTTCTCCCCCCTCCGATCCTTCACACGCCGACTCCCCTTTACCCCCTTCTGTCTCTCCACCCCGATCATTACTCCAATCAGCGGCCCTGCACTGTAGGATGATAATTCCCCTTCCTGTGGCGATTCATCGCACAAGTCATCAGGCAGTTTGTTTAGAATGAAGGTTGGACCTGGTGACCGCTTTGTGTTGGCACTTACCTAGCAACCGGCCCACCTTTCAGGGTGCTTGTATATATGCTTTGTAAGGGTGTCAAATAACATATCAAGAGTGTGTTTGTTGGTCCTCATGTGTATAGTCATTAGGCGGAAATGTACTCATAACTTCCCTTAAAGTTCCTTTTAATAGTTATTGGCCACCTGGGGGAGGAAAGCCTCAGACTGAATGTTTTGTTTTGTCCCAACTGATAAGTCAGCATTTTTATTTTCCAAATGTTTTATTCTTTTTTGTTCCGTTTTGGTCTCCACCACCTCCTGAGACCAATATCCAGCTCTTTATTGCATCACCACCTAATATAGTTTGTACATTTGCTTAAAAGACCGGATTCCCCTCGTTCAGTGGAGCAGGCGACTGAACGTTTGAAGCAAGCAGCATGTTGAAATGTCAGAGAAAAAATTACAATTTTTATGGTCTTACAAGTGATCAAATCGGGGCACGGCAGCTCATCCCATAACTTTTCAACATGCCTTTTCAATTTTTCCAGAAATAGTTTGGATTTTGGTATGTTCTTAAAAACAAACAGGGAACGTACATGTAAATAAATTATTTGCTGGTGAAGTTACACAGCACACGTTTTGCTAACCAGGTAGGAGTGTCCTTATAGAGCTGATCAACATTCCTCCATCATAGAGTAAAGAAAGAATCATCTCCAGCCATTTTGATTTAAGGGTGTCACCTACTTCCCCATATGGAAATAATGATAAAATATAAATTATGTAACATTACTTTGGCTTTTCACGATTCATCTCTCGCTATTTTCGCGTTGTGCAGAATTTTCTTTTACACATGAAGACTTCTTCTTTACTCCTACACTGTATGCTTCTGTACGTATGTGCACAGGCAAAAACGAATGTGCATGTGCCTGTTATTATGAAAAAGCAACAGAAAGGTACAGTCAACATGCACAGAAGCAGTTGGTGTAATCCTAAAGTGCTGTCACAAGCTCTAAATGCCTGCTCCGTGCTGGTGACGCTCACTTTTAAACTTTGATGACGTTTTTTCCTCTTGTTTGGTTCTCCATCTGCTCGGCTTGTACAACTGCTTTGAGTTTTTCTCCTCTATTTCCCACCGATTTCATTTCTTTTTTAACTCTTCTCATCTTTATGGTTTCAGCCTTAAAACAGGCACACTAAGGCAAGCAGTACACTGTGTTTGAATGTGTTCCGACACCTCCTCTTCACAAGGCATGATTTCCCAGGGGAAAATAGGCGTTTGGCATGTTTACATTTTGTTCCCATATCTTTGTCGCATCAAAAGCCTTCCCTCTCTTCTGCTTCACTCTGTGCTGCAAACTAGATGTTCGTTGAGGGAAAACCGATGCTGACCCATCTCTAACACCTAAAGAGGAATGACAAGTCTAGTGAGTTGACAAACAAGAATTGCAATGGGAGACAACAGAAACCCTAATCGACCCACCGGAGTGTGCAGTGTGTGTTTACCTGTGTGATTTATATTCATTGCTTCCCCTCTATAATGCAAGTAAGCATGTTCTTTACCTGCAGGGAAGATGGATGCTGTTGCTGTTTAAACATGTCATCCAAGGATACGAGAAGGAAAAGCTTTACAACGTTCAAAAGTTCATCTCCAGGGCCCATTACAGCTTTTCCTCGGGGATAGCTTTGCAGGTAATGGCCTACAGCTTTACCAGCCATCTGACAAGCAAAAAGGTTGGAAAGGAAAACGTGGTTCATGCGTCTCAAACATCAATTGCAACCTTGTCTTAGGGTTGTGATGTCAATCAGAGAGGTGAGATTGAAGGTGAGGCGCTGACAAGGAAGACTTTTTGGACAGAAACATGTTCGGCAGCTCTTGTCTCACTTTTCTCCCCACTCAGGGTGTAGTGTTTGACAGGGTGCCTGTTATGGCGTGGTGGTGATTTGATGTGAGTCACTGTGTCTCAAGACCAGTCTATATAATTACAACTTTTTGAAGTGTTGTAACACTTTTACTTTTTTAACTCCATTTTAGTTTCATAACAAGTCTCCAGTTGCAAAAAAATTTTTGTACAATTATATCCATTATTCCCCCTTTGTTCTGACTTGGCCTATTATTTTTAACCTAATATGAAGATATTTCGATATTTCACCCATGCCCCCACTCCCCCATCAGAGGTGTTCTCCATCAGTCTGACAGCTACATGGCTGTGTGAAAGGTATGGCTGGAGTTATCCTGTATCATTGCGTTGGTCTGAAGGTGAAAGGGGAAAGTCGAACGCCCTGACTCAGAAGCGTATAGGTATGCATATGTGTGGGCAGTGAAGTAAAACGAGGGTGAGGTGGGCAGCTGGACCGCTTGAACTGTCAGTGGTCCAGTAGAACGGATATTACAAAACACAGCTCATCTCAAGGAGGACTTTAACCTTGGCATTCATCAGAAGACCCCTCTATGCGTCTATTCATTAGTCAGCACTTTTCATCTTCATTCTCACTCCAGCTCTTCAGCGTTGTACCTTGCATGTCTCTCTTTCTGTCACTGTGTCTAAATATATATATATATTCTATATTTTTGGCTCTTTCCTATGTTGGTTTGCCAGTTTTTCTTCTAAGGCTTCGCCAGTCTTGTCTTGAGAGGCCAACATTTTTATTTTTAAGCTGCCAATCTTAAACCTATACCACGCAACCAATGGCTTTGAGCATCACAGAAACATTTTTCTGTTATTTTCTCTTTATAAAGAATCTGAAAGAACTCTGAGAGCAATGGACAGTCATCAGCAACAGGATTGATGATGATGTTGATGCCTGAGTGTTGGATGCACCATTATTTCCCAATTTAAATCTGAGAGGCTACAAGATCCAAAGGAATAGGATAGTAACAATTTAAAATATTTTGTTTATTTAACTTTATAGTTTAATAATTGTACATTATTGATACCGTAACGACTTAGGGTTTCTGAAAAATAATCCTTTTTGCAACAGTTGTTTGTTTCATTTTTAAAAAGCACAAATCAACAAAAGGAGCTTGCAGGAAATATTGTAAGTTATTAAAGGCAATGACAAATTGTTGTTTAGGTTGGAGGGCTAGAACAAGCCTCAAATTAGTATTAAAGTACAGTCCTTGTGTATAGGGATGTCCCGATCACCTTTTTTTGCTCCCGATCCGATTCCGATCATTTGATTTTAACAATTTGCCGATACCGATTTTTCCCGATCCGATCTTTATGCAATGCATTAAGAGAAAAAAAAGCATTCAAGTTGTCCCTTAAGGTTATTTTTTTATTTAAATTGGATATTCTATCCAACATGGATATAGCTTCTTTCTTTCATAGCAGCATTGGATCAGTTCAGTTGTGCAGCATTGGATCAAAACAAATAAAGCTTTCAGTACTCGTTAGCTTACTGCTACAATTAGACACTGCGCCCTGCCCACTCTGTTGCCAGATTTGAGAGAAATAAGCAACAAGGTCTATGAAAAAAAGCCCCAAAGAAGCAACACATACATGATGTTGTGTAATTTGAAACCAAAACTAAGGCCTCAGGATGACTTTAAGACTTGAACATGGTCATTTTTTTTTTGTAACATTGAATACAAAATAAATAAAAAGTATTTAAATTTTTTTTAAAAAAGATCCCGATCCCCGATTTTTTTCTCCCGATTCCGATCTTTTGAAAATCACGTGATCGGCTCCGATCCCCGATCACGTGATCGGATCGGGACAGACGTATACATGCTCGTCTGCATCTACTTACCAACAACAAAGACTCTCACACACCACACACACACACACAGACACAGAACAGACACAGACACACACACACACACACACACAACACACAAACACACACACCCACACACACACACACACACACAAACACACACACCGTCGTTCCACAAAGACAATATTACACATACATCTGATGAGAATGCACCATGTAATTGAGGCATCGTTTTCGTAACAAGACGTGTAGTTCCCATTTTTTAAA